TCAAATCTTATGTTTTTTCATGAAATTTAGGGTATTTTTTAACTTATAAAGCTTTAGCAAATTAAATATAAAATTAATTATGTCCTTTCAACGTATAATTATCTATATTTTATATATTAATAATTAATATGATAATTAATGTAATAATTAATAATTAAAATTTTTAATTTAAATGATTTCTTTAAATTCTATATTCTTCGCACATAATATTTAAAAATGCGGATTATAAGAAAAAAACTCTGTCCATTTAAACTATATTAAATCTGCTGTCAACCTGAAATTCGTCAACAAAATATAATTTCCAAGTATTTACATTATTAAATATATGCTAACTCGAAGTATAATAGAAAAATTTATAAGTTTTCTACCTCGGTATCAATTTCGAATAATTATATCAAAAAATGACCATAACACAGAATTTCTTAATTATTAATAATGCAAAGATTTTTTAAGTCTAAATTATTTAATTTTTTTAAAAGCTTTATACATAACAGTCACATTAAAAAAATAGTACCTCAAAATTAAAAAATAATTTTTAATGCAAACAAAAACTTAATAAAAATTAATTTTAATCAATTTTAGAATATTATAAAATAAGATATTTATAAAAATTGGATAAAAATTGCAATTTTTGTCTAAGTGGAAAGAAAAAAGTAAAAATGTTAAAAAAATAATTATTAAAAAAATATTTTAAAATAATTATTAAAAAAATATTTTAAAATAATTTAAAAAAAAAATTAAAAAAAACTTAATATCATTTTTTTCGAAAAGTGAATAACTATTCTAAAATTGTTTGAAATTAATTTTTATTGAAGTTTTGTTTGCGTTAAAAACCATTTTTCAGTTTTGAGGTTATGTTAAGGGCCTCCATCCTCTTTAAATTAACACTGGACGCGCGGTGTTGCTCATAAATTTTCGCACTGAATTATTAACACCGATTGCTTACAATTTTACACTTGATGTGAAATTGTAAACTAATTTAAGAAATATTTTTCACTTAAAAAGGTCTAAAAGTCGACACAATCTTTGAAAAGAAAATAATTTTTTTTAGTTTGCTTGTTTCTATTATATTATTTAACGGAACATTTTTTTTTTTTATAAGAAAAATTGACTATTTTTATGATACAATATTTTTTTTATTCAAAATATAATTTAGAAATGGTATATATAAATATATAATTCATATAAGATATGAATACAAAACTTGAATGAGAGAAAATTTGGAAATATGACTTAAAATATATAATTCGAAAATCGTCTGGCCGACGGCAGCAACCCTCCGTCGGACGTCAAAATGAAATTATGCGACCCTCGTTCAAAACGTTGGGGTTGGGCACAAAGACTCATTTGTCGAGGACAACATAACAATTTGACTAAAGAGATCTAAACCACTAAACGTTTTGTGATTAACTTTCATTAAACGATACTTAATAAATAAGTCTTTATAACACAGCTTCTTTTATTATTACTTCTGAGGGAGCAAAATGAAATCGTATTTCGCGAATAAAAATATTAAAAACTTTCAAAATACAATCAAAACAGTGAAAAGGCGAGTATTATATTAAAAAAAAAAGTATAAATATACCTCCTCATATGACGCGAGAATGTAAAAAAATTTTAAATTATTATAATCAATGTTTAATTATTTTTGATCAGTGTACACAAATGGGTACATTTTGACAGCTTAGTTTCACTCAATGTGTATTTATATAAAAAATAAAAAAATTGTATATCTAAACACAGTTTTTTTAACTTTCTAAAATGGTTCTCATTTATATGCCTTTAGGAAATGAAAGTATCAAGTCTAAGTTTATAAACTGGTCTAATATACATAGTTCTAAACCTATATGTATTAAAATAATTTTTTAAAGTATTTCATTTTAATGTATTTCATAAAGTCAGTCCGTCGCTTCGTAACCGTTTCTGGCTACAAACATCAATATAAACAAAATGCCTTTAGTTCCTCAAAAAAAAGCTACGACATAGCTAATTGAATTGCTTTTATATAGAAATTATTAGAAATAAACTGAATTTTCACATTTTAGCTGTGACGGTGTAATCAACAAAAATTTATGTTGTTCCAACTAAACTCAAATTTTTTTTAGACAGAGTTGTTTATGGTCAATTAATGAAGAATTTCTTAAAGAAACAAATTTTTTTAGTTATATTTCCCTCACAGCAACGAATATTTCAAAATATCCTACGGACAGGGATATCCGGTACCATCCGGAAATTAAAATATCCATGGATATCCCTAGAAAGTTTTATGGATTTAATAATTAAAAAGAGCCGACGGATATATATGAATAATTCCTATACAAGAACTAAAAAAAGTATAATATTTGATTTTTGTTTTATCTTCTATCATTTATAAACTTATATTTATACACAAAAAGAAAATAAAAAACAAATTTTCTAAAAGTATTTTCAAGCCGTGGAAAAGAGTAAAATTTTTATAAATAAATTATAATGAAAAACTTTTATAAACTTAATTTTTTAATATTTTAATTAATTTTGATTTTTTAGTAATAAATCAAATACGCTATGGAAATATACAAGTTTTAACAAATTTTAACATAACTATTGTAACATAAAAGTTAACTAAAGATATGTATATAATAAGATTATTATATATTTGAAAATATTTTTTAAAAATTTGATATTTACTTTATTTTTGTGTACAAAGTATAATTCATTATGTTGTCTCGACAATAATTTCCAAACAAAATCCTTTTTTTTTTGACATGAGACTATATTTTTCAGTACAAGTAAAAATCATGTGCATTATACTCTGTTTCATATTAAAGTGCATTCAGAAAATTTTTTTTCTATAAAAACGAAATTAAATTTAAAATCCAGTAAAGAATTTTAAAATGAGAATTTTATACACTTTTACATTATAGTGGGCGCGAATATTTAAACCAAATGAAGAACTTTGTTTATACTTTTATATTGTATAAAGAAACACACTAAAAAAATTTATCTGATTCAAATAATCAAATTCTTGACTATTATCAAATAAATATTTACTTAAACCAAATTTTGTATTAAATTTGTTCTTGAATTTCGTGAATATAATATATATAGAAACGTTTCTATAAGTCCAATTTTTAAAAGTTTTCGAATTTCGTACAAATACAAACGTTTCTTAATCCAATTTTTAAAAGTTTACAATTTTAATCTTTGGATGGATTATTTTATAATTTAATTCACTCAAATAATAATTATTTAATACAAATAAATAATTATTTGTTGATAGGTCAAGTAACCGATATTTGAATCAAATAAATTTTTCTGTAGTGTATATGAAAAAAATTTTAAAATTTATAACTTTTATAAGTATAACTAATAGGGTTAATGTTTTCATTTTATGCAATTAAAAAAAAAAACTCAAAACTTTAATGTATTTAATAACCAGTTGAAATAAACAAACAGATTTGGTGAACTTTGATATAAATCGTATATGATTTAAAAATTTTTTTTCTAATAAATTGATTATAAATAAATACTCATTCTTCCCGCATACTCTTTTCTTATATTCTTATATTTTTGTTTTTAATTTCTGTTTCATTTTATTTTTATTTTCACTTTATGAATATTGTAAGGAAGATATATGTATATGTACAGTGTTTGGAATTCAGTCATAATCGTGCTTTTATAAGCTTCACAACTTTATTAACTTTAATAACAGTTATTAATTTTTAAAAAAATTTTAATCATGTTTTGCCTGTATTTGAGTTTTGGTTTAACAATGGATTATTTTTGTGGTATGTTCTTATTTTATTTTAATTGTCAATTTTACATTTTTTAAATTTAATTTATTATTTAATATGTTTGTTAACTTTTCCTTTTATTTTTAATTATACTTTAAATTAGATTTTCAATTTTTATTTTACTTTTAATGACATTAATTTTAATTTCATTTAATATGTTTTATTTTACTTTTAAATTAATTTATTACTTTTATTTAATTTATATTTTAATTCTGACAATCCAAATACTATATTTCTCCAACGTATGGGTATTTTGAATATTTATTTTATGACAAATTTTAACGACGATTGTTATAGAATAACTGTTTGCTAAGTTTTTATCGTATTATTTAGTAAAAAATTTATTTCTTATTATTTTTGTATATTGTTTTAGGTTTTTTGTATTTTTATTTTGTTTTATTTTTGAATATTTTGTTCCTTCATATTATTTTGTAATTTGTATTAATTTTATTTCATAATTTCCTTTTAGAATTTTTTTCAATTTTTGTTCTTTTTTGTATTTTTGTTAATTCTTTAAAGTTGTTTTTATTTTAATATTTTATATTATTTCATTGTAAATTTTTGTCTCATATTGATTTAATTCTTTGTATTTTTGTTTTTTAACTTATTTTATTTTATTTATTGTCAGATTTTCTGAAGAGGAAATCGCAGTATGATTTCGAAACTAAGGAAAATTTATTAAAAAATCCATTTGTCCTAATGTTATTTAACTTATTTTAAACAATATCTTTTGTGATTTGAGATGTATATATGCATTTCCATCCATTTGAGATATTTAAAAAATAACCGAATATCAAATTTCTACATATTAAATATTTTAAATTTAATTAGTTATTTATTTGAAAACTTCTTTTCAGCCAATGATTATTTGCTTGCATTCGAAGCAAAAACAAAAACATCTTGTTAGAAAACAATTGAATGTAACATTTTCTGGTCTCTTTTATGAAGATAATCTTATATATACCCTTGATTATATATTTGTTTTATGGTTGACCTAACCGAAGAAAAATATAACACACTGGGATAAAAGCATCTGTACTGTCCACAAATTTAGTTATTGTTGGTAATTCTCGCCACTTAATATAGTTATTAATATAACTTTATAGGTTATTAGTGCAGTGTATTAGTTGTATTAGTGCAAAATACACCAAATTTTTGTTTTACATGAAAATTTTTATCCTTAAACAGGATATTATAGGTACAATGCAGTTTGTTGTGACAACCTACCTATTTTTTGCAGCCGCAGCTCTATCCCTTTGTCTCCTATTTTTGAACCAGTTACCAACCTGCGTAGGCGTTAACCCAGTGGCAGAAGCTAGCTCCCTTTTCTTTCCCGGATTTGGATAAGGATCTTGAAGGTACCACTCTCTTAAAAGCGATCTCGTTCGCTCCTTAAAACAATGAGTCTTTTGCTCTCCATCCCATATGGTTCTGGGCAATGGAAATTTCTTTCGCACCCTATACTTGTCCACTGGACCAAGTGGTCGACCCCTTAACTTTTCTGCCTCCTGATAATGTGCCTCAAGCCACATTGCTTGCAATTTCCCGTGTGAATCTTTGGTGAATTTGTGCCTCTCAAGAATTGCGTAAAGTTCTCTATAATGTCCCGCGTGAAATGCAACAATGGCCCTTGCTCTTAACACAGCTTCACTTTCGTTGAGTTCTTGAATATTGGGATGTGCCACCGGAAGACTCCAGAGGAACCTCGCCAATCTTTCAATATCACCACTTTCCTCCAGTGTTTCACAAACTGATGCCACCTGACCCACTGTAAAGGACAGTGTTGGCAATGCAAAAACTGGTGATGGTACTATCGGACCGTTCGGACTCGGCCCTGTAGCGCCGGGACCAGCTGGTGCCACGGCTGACATCGGTATCACTTTTCTCTTTAATTAAATCTCTTTTCTCTTTACACTCGGATTTTAAAACTATATCTCTGTTTCTTCCAAATTTTCACAAAGGCATCGAACTCTCCGTCATATTCATATATTCCTCTCAAGGAATTTTTGAATTTCCCTCTTCTTTTCGTCTTCCAATCAACAGAAACAACCAAAGCATTATAAAAATTGGAAATACTGGAAAATAATGACACTGACACTTAGTTTCTATAAACACTAACACAATACACTTAAATCGACAAATTGTCACTGCAGTCCTTCACAAATAATTACATTATTTAACATATTCGATCCTCTTTGGAGAACATCAGTTACTTGGAAGACATATATCGAGCATTAAAATGAACATTGATAGCGTTCATCTCTCGAGGAGATGAACCTCGAGGGGGGGTGGGTGAGGGGGGGATTTGGTGGAGGGTTGGTCCTGGAAAACCGGCGATACCACACGGTTTCTTCTGGTTTTTTAAGATATCGCGGGGCTGCTGTTGCCTCGATCGTATCGAATAGCAAACTGGTTTCGTTTACAACTCGACATCTCGGACCCAGCCCTACCCAGCATGATACGTTTGTCCGCCCGTCGCACCGGGAGTTGGCTCGTTCGCCACCTTCCTACCTATCTCCTCGCGGATGGAACCTCAGCCAATGAGAAGCCACGCCTTCTTGGCAACCGATGATTGGCCCGATCCAATCCCTGTATCCATGGTAACCATACTTCGTCCTCCTCCCTGTGTCCTCCGTTGGGCTTGTGTCGGTTTAATTATCCCCACTTCGATATGGATTTTGATCCCCCACTCAACGGGTATTTCTCCCCTCTTTTGCGTTGATCTCTCACGCCTCTCTGCTTCTCAAAGCCGGGACGGGTGGTGTGCTTTTCTACTTGGTCGTGTGAATGAAAGGGAGAGAGAGAGAGAGAGAAAGAGAGGAGTGAGGGGTGGTAAGTTGACAGGTTCTAGTTGGTAGAATATAGAGGCAGACGAAAGCAAGGAAGGAACAGTCGAACATGATCCTCGAGCTGCCGTAATCTCTCGTCCTTTTCAATTCATGACTTGTGGTTCGACAATAACAGGCGAAGATTCACAGTTTTTTGTTTCAGAATTGTGACTGCCGTTTAATCGACTTCTTTATATTTTAAAATAAATTTCTGCATTTAATATATATTTCGGAGAAAACAATTTCCATTAATTTATCGCGATTCCAAAATAAGAACTTGAAATTCAAGTGTGGTCAAGTTCACTATATGACTCTATATTGGAGAATTACAGTAGCTCTCTATTGAGATGTAAGGGCGCATGCGCACTTAAATTCATTGTCAGCTGGGTTCAGAGGTTCCAGATCATAATCATATAGCCATCCCTCACGGAGTAAAAAATCGAAATCCGAGATTTTTGATGTGTAAATAAAAAGTATATTATAAAAAACAAGCATTATCGATTTAAAAAAAACTACACGGGAAAGAGTGTTACACCACAAATGGTGTAACGGGTGTAACACAATTAACACCCGGTGAAGGCGCAACTGTAATACTTAACAGAAACTAACATTTCTTTTTTTAGACTTGCATTTTTAAAGGCGCATTTTCTCAAAATTTAAATAAATGGTCAGACTTACAATAAATTTCGATTGTCACAATCTAATTCTCACTTGCCTCCATCTGTATATTAATCTAATGCTATATAAAACTTTATATTTAATCTAATCCTCGTTTTTGGCCTTATCTTGATTTTTAAACCGATTTTCCTTAATATTTTTGATGTATATATATATAATTCTTTTATGCGTATGGCCTAAACTCCATTCGACATAACCCTCACAGCACACTGGGATCTTTAAGGATATCCTGGGGATGTTCTAGGATATCCAAACCGCCGGAATCAAAAAAATATCCCTATAGGATGTCCCAGGAATATCCTTAAATATCCTATAGTGTGCTGTGAGGGAATTATTTATCACAATTTTTAACTATATATGGCATAATTTTTATGTATCTATAACTAACATATACTCTCTAAATATATGAATTATAGTGAAAAGTGCGAGCTACTAATTTAAATTACATAGTAAGAATTTTAACTAATTTTAAGTAAATTTTTACAAAAACTTTAGTAAAAAATTAAAAATAACTAAATCAAATAGTAATATTATATAGTAAAAACTCTTACTAATGTGAATTAATATATCTTTCACAGAAAATTAAAAGGCATTAAAATAAGCTGCAACGCTTATTATTTTAATCCTATTTTGCTTATTTTAATCCATTTTGGTATTAAAATAAGCAAAATTGGATTAAAATAATAAGCGTTGCAGCTTATTTTAATATATTATAATTTTCTGTGTTACTTTTCACTAATTCAAATTTTATGCGTATATATCGTTAACTTTAATCTAAATATAACTGCATGTGTCCCAATTCTTATTTATTCTATAATATCAGGTATATATTTAACCCAAGTCGTATTTGGCCTATAATCTTTATCAGGACTAACTCTTATGTTTATGCCCTAATCTTTTTAAAAACCTAATTCTTATATTTGCGGCCTATACTTATTAATATATATGGCTTATAATTCTTGTATATGACCTATAATGTTTGTTCAACCAATTTCACCAACTCCGGTTAAAAGTTAATCAGCGATTAAAGCCAAAATTCAACGGCTTATGATTGGTCGGTTAGAGATTTAATCGCTGATTAACTTTTAACCAGAATTGGTTAAACCAATAATCTAGCCTATAATGCTCAATTTTTATCTGCCCTAATTCTCAAATGGCCCAATATTTAACTGTCCCCAATTCTTATTTATTCTAATCTGTATTAAACCCAAAATTTTCTTATTTGGTCTAATCTTTATCAATAACCTATATAATTCTTATGTGTCCTAAACTTCAATAAATATACCCAATTCTTAATTTTTATCTGCCCTATAATTCTCAAATGGCCTCTATAATCGTCAGTTGACATATAAATATATTCTTATTGGATCTAAAATTTATTTAATCCAATCCTTATTTGCAGATTAATCATTATTTAGACTAATTATCATTTGGCCTAATCTTCATGTAAAATAATTCTTTTTTAATCTAATCGTCAAATAACTATATATAAAATCTCTTTTTATCTAAACTTCAGTTGATATTTGTTGATAAACGCGAAGAATGAGAGAAAGCAAAGATAACACAAATATATCTGTCTTTTTCTCTGTTGCTTCGCGTTTATGAACGAGTGTCTAATAATATAAGTTTAGGCCAAAAAAGAAATTTATTATCTGGTTAAAAGTGCGACGATTAGGTTAAAAAGAATTATTTTACTTGAAGATTAGGCAAAGTGAGAAATAGATCAAAAGCCCGCAAATAAGGATTGGATTATATAAAGTTTATAAACTTTATAGATCCATATAGTAAGAATAATTATTTCAAATGGAGATTAAACCATATTTAAGAATTATATTATATATAATATATATATATGCTTAATAATAATAATATGATAATAATCGTATAATCCATTTTCCTGTGCATTATTATTATTAATCATAAAATTTGTTTAGAATTTACTCAGGGTGATGTAATTTTTGTAAACCAGTAATTTCAAAAAATATAATATAATGCATATGAGTCTTATTTTTAAATTTAGAATAATTTTAGGCTGATGCGTTTGCAACATTAATTCGATATATGGTAAATCTTTTAAGGTCACCCTGTAAAATACATTATATGTATATATATATGTATGTATATTATACATTGAGGGAAAAAAGTAGAACGTGCCTTCTATGGAAATATAGAGACTTGCAATTTGCACCCTTGAGTACATCAGAAGGGACGAAAGAGAAATATATATCTGTGAAAGTATATATATATGTATTATATAGCGCTGGTGGGCATTTAAAAAACATATCCTCCTGGTTTCGTATTGTAAGCTGGACACTTTTGGACAACCGAAAGCAGATCAGGAGATTTAGATTGATCGTAAGCGGCTTGCTTCTCGAGCTTTACTTTTGTGCTTCAACTATAAGTATTTGCGTTCCAATGGTTCACACCTTGGCATAATGATCCATTGGAAAAGCAGACCATATTCAGCGACTATTATAATTCGACAATATACTCCTGCTATTCTGACACAATATAATGTTCTATATATATATAGGTTGATATATTGTCGTTTTTTTTTCTTTGTGAAAAGGCATGTAGGGAGTATATATATACAAAATATAACTATATATTCTGTTTTTAAACTTTTAATTGTGTGTAAATATTATTATTCGATTAAAATACCTATATAGGAATTGTTTTATTTCGTCCAAATTACCTTTATCTGATACTAATCGAGTTTTTTCTATTTGACCTCAATATATGTAAAATTTTATGATCCTGATGGAGCACATTACTGCCGGGAGAAAACTAAAATCTATACGTGCGTATAATAATTAAATGATGATTTTGTGATACAATAATATAATAAAATAATGTGATGTTATGTTCAAGGTATGAACATAATTCCTTTGGCATTGATCACAGAAGAGTTTTATTGTAATTTCTGAGACACTATTGGTTTTTTTGTATACCGAACATTTTTTTTAGTTTCATTTAACATTATTTTTTAATTGTGATTATTTTTTTAAATATAGATTTTTATTTAGTTATTATTAGAAATTATCACTGAAGATAAAATTGAGATGTTTTTTCGAGAGGAGTAAAGTGGAAAACTGAGCAAAGGATCATTGTAAATTAGTTACGGTCCCTTTTTTTAAATTTGTATATGCAATAATGTATTGGTTTGATGCATGTTTGTGAGAGTTTTACCATGTGTTTAGATGTTTTGATTTTTTTCCTTTTCTTTTTTTCTCTTTTTCCTTTTTTTTTTGGTTGATGGTAAGGAATGTAGAAAAGTTTATTGGAAACTATTCTTAAAATTTATCTGTTATTTTCTCGTTGTTGTCAGAAATTTTCAAAAGTATGAATTTGAGAATTAATATTAGTTTCGGTCCCCTTTCTTTTATTAGTACTTGTTTGTGGATTTTGGCGTCTACGTAAACTTATGCAAGGTAAGTAACAAATATTATTTATATTCTAAATTGATTCTGAATACAAAGTTAACCTCAAAACTTACAAACTTTAAATTTATCTCTATATTATAAAAAGATTAGTATTAAAACGAACATAACCTCAAAATCAAGGTCCAAGGTCTCCATGATTCAAAGTCATGGATCAAACATAACCTTAAAATTCAAGGGCATAGGGTTTCACGATTCAAGGTCAAAGATGAAACATAACCTTAAAATTCAAGGGCATAGGGTTCCAGGACTTAGGACTATGTATCCGACAAACATAACTTTAAACTCCCCTAACCAAGAAACGAACACAACTTCAAAATTTAGATAAAATATTAATAATTTTAATACTCGCAAACCTTTAAAAAATTAATCAATGGGAAAATTGCATAAATGCTGATGTCCTTCCGGTTTGATGACATTTTGAAAAATCCTGACACCGGAAGGAAAGCATTTATGCAATTGGGTGTAATAATAAAAAATTTTGAAAAAACTTCAAACCAAACATAATTATTAAACCTTATTTCATATATAGATT